CAATCGTGGGATCAACACCCACCTGAGTGCTGCTGAGCCAGGCAGGACTCAAGTGTAAAAAGGCGTGGGAAGGAGGAAAGACAAGCAGACCAACAGCAGGGGACAGTCTTCAGTGACCCAGGAGAAGACAATGGCTGAAAACACATTTGGGGGGGGCCAAAGGCCACGCAAGCTGCCCGCCCAGAGCCGCCAGCCTGACGCAGTATAACACAGCCTCTCCCTCAGCCTCACCACAGCTGGTAACGGGCTGTCGTTATCTCTGTTTTAGGGTAAAACGGCACAAAACAGGAGTTCAGATGAGTTAAACGACTTGCTCAAAACATACAACTAAGCAGAGGGTTCCAGGTTGAGCCTACGGTTCTGCTCAAGTCATGCCCCCCACCATCCCCTACATCCGGTGGGAGCAGTGTCCTCAAAATTAGCAGTAGACTCAGAGGTAGAACGGAACTACCAAGGCCCCCCGGCTAGTCTACAGTATCTTCAGCGGACATGCTCAGAAAGTCTGCAAACCTAGCCTTGTCCCCCGAATGCAGACATGACACCTGGCTCAGGCCAGGCCCAGCCCCTGCACAATCACACCTCTGACTCCGCAATGTGGACTTAAGGCTGAACAAGCGGGTCAAGGAAAGTCCTACGTGGTTGCCACCTCCGTTTAAGCGGCCTCCGCCTATCTGGAAAAACTCCTAGCTCTGGAACCCTCAACTTCATTCTTCAAGCCAAACCAATGCACTTCAGGTAACTGCTCCTCAAACACAGCATCTTCCACCCTTCGGTCCTCACGACCTGGCCCACACTCCCCTTGCCCCCTTCATCACAGTTCTGTGCACTGAAAACACCACGGCCACAAGTGAGGGTTTCATCTTTAAACACAGGCAAGGACCTCATTAAGTCACGCTTAGGAGTTTTCACAACCATCCTGTTCGAACCGCTCTGAGAGTTTCGGGAGGCCGTGGACATCGGAATCCCTGAGGAGCAAGACCTTCCTTCCCCCAGAGCTGCTCTCTGCTCAACCTCTCGGCCCTCCAGCTCGTGGGGCACCCGCCCCAGCTTCCCCCTGAAATGTGCCCGTCATCTGCCCAGTGTCACGGATCGCTGGTCGGTGCTCAGTCTCTGCAGCTGCCCCACAGAGAAGCGATGGTGGATTTCCTGCTGAGCTGGCTGTCCTCTATCTTATCTCCTTTTTACTTACCCTCAGAACAGCCCTGAGACAAGGAAACGGACACACAGAAGCTTGGGTGACACATAAACTCACGACCCAACAGGAGGCACCACAAGAAAAGCCCTGACTCTGCAGGCGAGTGTTTGCCACAAGACGTCACTCTCAAAAGCAAGGTCTGGCATCAGGAATGTACCGAGCACCACTGAACTGTACACTGGGAAATGGTCAGGACGCATCACAAGAAAAAACACGATGGAACTATGAGCGGTGACGGGTGTTAGCTAGACTTTCTGTCCAATTTGACCATTTTCAGAGTTTTCCTCTGAAACCTTCCTTCTTCCTTTCCTATTTTAGCATTCCATCATCCATTCGCTCAATAGGCATTTACACAGAGCCTGCTGTACGCCAGGCACAGCTCTCAGCCGATGCTCACTGTTCGGAGGCTGAAATCCTGCGGTAGTTCCACAGCCGGCAGCACCTCACCCCCTGCGCCCTGGCTCACTCCATCTCTTTCCTGGGACACCCCCTACCCTCCGCCTCCCCGGGATTCAGCCCGCAGGAAGGCTCCCTTGTGGCTGGCTGCCAGTCGTGAATGCCAGGGCCTAACCTTTTGTTAGATATTTTATCAACTACTCCACACAGCAATGAGTGAAACACGCAGGTCCCTACCCTCTAGTCCGGGGAAGAGATGATAACCCAGTAACTACATAAATGAGTCGGGTAACTTCAAACAGTGCAGGAGAGAAAAGAAAACCGCAAAGGACTCGAGGGCAGCTGGAGATGCAGGAGCGTGGAAACTGGGAAAGTCTCTCTGAGGGGGTAACTGAGAAGCAACCAGGCAGGAGTGCAGAGGTCTGAGGTCGGAACCTTCCAGGTAGAGGGAAGAGTGACCAGAAGCATCAAGGCCTCCTGCTGGAAACCAGCTTGGGAGTCCCGTGATCTCCAGGCCAGTGTGAAGGGCCATCTGAGCAGAGAGGTCCCGGAGGCAGACGGGCCTGGCAGGGAGGACCCTTAGGGCTTTGGGACAGAGGTGGAACTCTAGGCCGAGAGCAGTGGGCCTCATCAGACGGATGCGAAACAGGCCAATGACGTGACTTAATTTATACTTTTACAGGGTTGCTCTGACAGCTGACCACTGGATTAAGGAGAATGTGAGGAGGAGACACTATGAAGCTGCGGTGTCACCCAGCGGCGTCTCCCAGCAGCCGGGCCGGCTGGGAGCAAGAGAGACGGACAGGTACTCCGGCTGCACACCTGTTTCAGAGGTACAGCTGCCCCAACGCACTGACGAGTATGATGTGGGAAGAGGAAGCCGGAGGAACCCGGACAAGCGTTCAGCAAGTCACTGATGGTCGCTCACTGATTTACTGAAAAGAAAAGGACTGGGGGACTAACGGGTTTGCGGAGACACGGAGTGAGAAGTCCTGTTATGCCACAATCAGGGTGAGATGCCACTGAGAAATCTAATCTAACCCAGCAGGCAGCTGTACGTGTGAGCTTCATAATAAAGGAGACCCGAAAACCCTGGGGTTACCCTAATTTTACAAACGGGAAAACTAAAGCTCTGAGAAAAAGGCTTGTCTCAGCACAGAATATTTATCAGTTGACGCCCCTCGGCAGAGGGCTGGTTCCACATTTGCAAAAAGAAGAACACCCTCACTGGGGAGGGCTCCACTCTGGAGAAACACACCGCACAGCTCACCCCACAGAGGCTACAAGCTGCTCCGGAGATCAAGGTCCTTCGTATCCAAGAAGATGTCCCAGGAAATTAAGACGCATCAAACATGCGCATTTGACATGCGCATATGCAGGACCAAATAGTGCACAGCGTGGACCGTCTTCGGAGAAAACGTGTCAACTGAGTGCGCACACACACAACAGGAAGTGAGGCAGGACCTCCTCCGGAAGGAGAGACTACAATTCTTGTTTTTCATGTTTATTAAGCGTTGTGTCAAAAAGCTTTCTGGGGAACACAGTTCCAAATTAGAAAAGAAAACCAATCGGGAAGGGACCAACACAAGAATAAGGACGGGACAGAGTGGGTCGGGGCTGCAGGGAGCCTGGGACAGATGCCCTCAGTGCTGCGACCGAACCCGGGCTGCTTCTCCAGGCTCAGGCTGCTTCCAAGCAGGGGGAGCTTCTATATCGGAAGACGTATTTTTATCCCGAGCTCAACGCATCCATCGCAACTAAACTTCCTCTCAAATGCTAGAGGTGTTCTGTGGACGTGCAGGACCGTGCTAAGAACAGGAAGGATGAGAGAGAAGAGAAGAGGCTAGGGCGGGGAGGGAAGAAAGGAGGGAGCTGAAGGGGGCCTCTTCCCGATGGCCGCCCCTTATGACAGAGGACACGCCCCTTATGACAGAGGACACGCCCGTGCAGCATCGGGAAAACACCCTGGGAAGGCACGCTCATCCAGGAGGCCTGGTCCAGCGGGTACTCCAGGCTCAGAGTTTGAGCACAGTGTCACCACCAGTTTCAGAGCAGTGGTGATTAGCAAGGGGATGCGAAAAGGAGGGATGCTGGCTGCAAGCAGCCCCCACGCTTCCCTGGACCCTCCGCCCACAGCCTGCTGGGCGGTCTGCTCTTAAAGCCAAAGCAGCAGCCTAGGGGGCCTGCAAATAATCCTTGTCTCCTCCGAATTGGGGGGGGGGGGCAGCCAACATAGAGATATCATATCCAACCCCCTCATTTCACAGATACAGGACCTGAATGAAGCTGGGGCAGATAGCGGGGCTGACCTGTGACCCCAGAGCCACTTCAGGGGAACAGTGTCTCGCCAGTTCACAGGCTCAACCCTGTGCCCTATGACCGTGCTGCACACAGAGATCAAGGGGCAGGGGACCACGGGGACAGCCCGGGGCTTCACGGTAGCCACATCAGGGGCAGAGTCGGGCAGCTTGGTCCCGGAAACGAGGCCTGGGCTGCAGTCTGGATGTCGCCTGGTCACTGCGCCCAGCCTGCACCTGCAGTGGCTGACAGTCTTTCGAACGCCACCACCGAGCTTCCCCACACAGTGTGGCTCCAAGTGGCCGGGGGGCTGTCCAGGAGCCAGACCCTCCCCCCGTCGAGGTTTCAGACGGAGACCCTTGGCAGGTCACTCGGCAGTCTGCTTCCAGCAGCTATGACCTCCCCAAGGACAAGAGGACACAACACGCCCATCCCCTGCCTTTCACCCAGCATCTTCCTAAAAAGCTATCATAGGTTGCACATGAACTTCAGCCTTGACAGCTTCTGTCTTCCAAGATTTTGCCCCATCCCAGCATATACAGAAAATTCTAGAACTGGTCACAACTCAGTAGCCCATTCTCATGGAACTCCCATCTACCTTTTAGTGCTTACAGAGAACAAAATTTCTAATGGAAGTGAGTTTGGGGAAGTCTCGTCTAATTATTAGGAAAGTGGTAACATATGCCGGATTTCCATTTGGTTTGTCTACGACAAACACTTGATACATGAATAAATGGGTTGGTAAAAATAACAATAACCATCTTTCCCATTAAATCTAGAATTTCCTTCCATCCCCCCCCCAAAATCTTCATTCATAAATATATTCCCGCCTGGAAATATCCCCTCTGGGCATTCTCTTTATTACGACGCTTGTACAACCGTGGACTCAAAGCTACGCACCACGGTTCCAAAATTCTGTCATTAGCCCCAGAAAATAAAATCCAAGAGGAGACAGCCCCTGGGTGCCATGTCTACGTTTTTCCATTCCAGAGCTGTCCCTATGCTGCTAAGACTCTCCCACAAGCGCCCAAGGCCACTGAAAACTTGGCCTGGATTTCGCGTGGTCCTGCTCGCGCCCTTCACAGCAAACAGCCCCGGCAACAGTACTTACAGCATAAGCACCTATCAGAAACGCTGCGTTCGCTCTTTTCCGCTGATCGAAACAGGTGTAGTGCACTATTTTCTTCCTTGATAAACTGTATGACTAGAAAGAGAGAATGGACAGCGTTAGCGTGGCCACGGAGACCATACTGACCAGCATAGAAGACAAACACCCTCTCTCAACTCTCCAAGACGGGTCGCAGGCAGTGAAGGTGAACAACTGTGACGTCTTTGGCACTTGTACGTAAGCGTCCGAGGGCGTGGAGGGCCACTAGCTCGGCCGTCTGCAGCTCAGTCATGATGTAAGAAGCGACATTTAAACCAATATGCCTTCTCTCCAAGAAAGGAGGCTGACCCATTGGAAATAATTAAGTTATTAATTAGCGTCTGTATTAGCTTAAACCATTTTGAAGACATACTCTTGATCTGGTAGGTCAAGTCCTTTTTCATTCTCACACCATGTGCACGCCCAGAAAAGCTATTTTCTTTTATAGACTTTGTTTTTGTGTGTCCATCCTCCATTTTCCTCTTTACAAGGTTTAAATGCCCATAGTAACTAGAGCACATTAATATTTTCTTTCTAAAATGTCCTATAAAAAGCCCCTCTTAAATATCTGGAAATAAATGGTTCCTGGAAAAAAGATGGACCAGCCAAAGGATTATATCAGCAAACATCTCAATGCAACAGCCATAGGTTAAGTTCGTGGATTCAGAGAGTTATTAAGCACCTGCTGTATGCCAGGCAATAGATACATGCTCAAGTAGTCAGCTCAATCCAAAATAAGCAACATGGTGCGTGGTATGCAAGCTAAACAGGAAAAGAACGGCCCAAATAAAAAGATCTGTTAAGACGAAATCAAATTATTAATCAAAACTCAAAGGCACACAAAACAAGGAGGACACTGATGCAACTCAACAAAAAAAAAACCCGATTTCCTCATATCCCCGAAGTGACAGTATTTGGGCAAGTGGCTTTCACAATGCGGCCCAGAAGCACATGTCCCTAGTGTCTGTGAGTCTGCGTTCAGAGAGCCTGGCAAAGCGCAGCAGAGCGCAACCAACCACCCGCCTTTCTTCATCCTGTTCCTTCCTACGAGCGGAAGAAACTCTCCGGGCTCTTACGTGCACCCGGAGGTGGATTCGGAGGGAACTCCCTGGCTCTCACGTGTCGCCCCGGGAAACGCAGCCTGGAAACAAACCCTCACCACCCAGGGCGGGCATTTCTGGAAAACAGCCCTGCTCTCTGCCGCTGACCTTTGCAAAACGAGCGTTTGCCTCAAAGCAGGCTTATTCTTACCGAAACCCTTATTTCCCGACAGGCTGATTAAATTACCCCCATGAAATAAAAATGTTACCAGCACACTGTACTCGATCCAGTTCAGTCGGGCGAGTACCCTGAACTTACCTAACGACTTCAGAGTCACTCACTGTCACTGGGCGGTCACTGCCCTCCTGACCTTCCCGATCTGAAATACTGTCTACTGGACCGTTTTTTTTTTATCTTATTCTATTATTTGTTCGTGCGTCTTTGCCACTTACTGTTCTCCATCAGTATGTTACGTGTGATTTACAGAAAGGGACTTGAGGTTCTTAAAACCTAAGCATCTCCCCGGGTCTCTGAATCCCAGCCCCCCAGAGACTGCCTTCCACAGGCCGGGCCCCCGAAATGTAAGTCAACCCGAACATGAGGCCACAGTGGTCTTAGGGGTGGCAGACACCTGGAAGATCGGCTCATGTGTTTGGATGCTCTTTTCCGCTGAGAATTTAGGTTTCACAACAAAACTACGGCCATCTTTTAACAACATGGCATTGAATTTATTTCATGAATCCACTCCCCAAAGGGGACGAGCTCATACCACTCGCCTTCCATCATCCACGGTCCTTTTTTTTGTTTGCTTTGGAACTTCCTGCATTGGCTCGTTTCTAATTTTTCTCTTATTCTGAAGTATATGGACCACAGAGACCTTCTCAGGCAAAAGCCAGGAAGCTGGAGGACAGAATTCTGGAAAAAAACTTTCTTTTCACTGTATACCTACAAAATTTTTTCAAGTAAATATAATGCAAATTAAACTGGTAAGAACTCCATAGAAGAATTTTTTAAACTTCAAAAGCTTTCAGCAATTACATCAGATTAAAAAACATCCTCACAAAAATCTACCTAGAAATTTTGACTCCCTTAAAATACCTCCTACTGGAAGCTGCCCTCAGGGTAGAAACATAAGTGACTTTCCCTAACAACCATCAGTCACCACGTGTATTTACAAAATTGTCTTTCCTGTGATGAACACTTTGCAGACTTCCTCTCTTAGCAACTTTCGCCTGCAGCCACCAGGCTGACGTCACAATAACAGGCCTTTTTAATGAGAGTTTCCCATCTGACTTTTAGGAGTCGGTTTTAAAACTCACGGCATTTACCTTGCGTACCTGTTTCTGGAATTCAACTGTGTCTCTCAGTAGCACTGCAGCTGAGAAACGACCTGCTCCGTGAAGGTTAGCCACTCTCTCCTAGGTCAGGTCACAGAGCGCAGCCTGAACGTAAACTAGTTCCAGGTGAATGACAACACAGAGGGGGTTGTCTCAATTTCCCTCCTTGCCACAGCCAGCCTCCCCCTCGTGGACTGGCCTGCCCCAGGCTTACACCGGCCATGCTGGGCAGCAGAAGACGTTCTGGTACTGGGCAGAAAAATATCAGGTTGACAAGACCTTTTGCCTATTGTTTAGCTGATGCTTTCTATGATTGGGCTGATGTACACAAACTCGTTCCTGCTTTCTCCTTTCAAATATTAATGAAACGTGTCCCTCTCTTTAAAAAGAAGAAAAACCCTGCCCTGGCTGGGTGGCTCAGTTGCTTGGAGCATCATCCCACACACCAAAGGGTTACAGGTTTGATTCCTGGTCAGGGCACACACCTGGGTTGCAGGTTCAATCCCAGGTAAGGATGAGTATGAGAGGCAACAGATCAATGTTTCTCTCTCTCTCTCTCTGCCCCCCTAATCCATAAACATATCCTCAGGTGAGGATTTAAGAAAAAGCCTTATTACAAAACAAAGCACCGTGAGAAAAATAACACTGTCCACCAACAACTCAAGTGCCTTGAGAGGAACATCCATCGCATCCTCTGAGCTCATTCACAGAACTTGACCGTGCAGGCAAAGAAAGGCACAGGCTACAGATGAGTCCTCGTGTGTATGAATGAGTCCAGCAGGTATTTCCTCCGAACCTGCCCCAACCCCAGGGGACCTCACACCTCCCAAATGGTCAGCAGCCTCTTCCCCGTCTCCTCTGCGGTTTGTACACCAACCAGGCCCCCAAGGAGACCACCTGCAAACTTACACCATCACCCCGGCTTTCAGGGAACCACCTGGTCTCTTAGAGGACAGTTTTACTTTCCATGAGAAGCTCAGCGATTACGACAACCCTGTGCACTACAGCCAAGCAGATTCAGAACTCATGAAACACACATAAAGACAAGGATGTAACAGAAGGAACAGCAAGATCTCTGGACTATTGCGCCTGCTCTGCCACAAGCCAGCACATGACTCACGAGGAGGAGAACCCACAGCCACCTCCTCGCTGCATTTCAGATTTCCCTGGGCGCCCAGAGTACGCAGCCTTCGGAAGCAACTTGTGTCAACACAGCCAGCAGCAGCCTGGCAATAACAGCGGGAACAGTGCCAGCCCACACTTCTCGGCCACTGCTGCAGTCCGAGCCATTGCCCGAGGCAGTAGGTCCAGGGCCAGGTGTGTCCCGTTTGACCAGACACGGCGTGACTCATAAACCAGGGGCTGGGGTGCAGCTGAAATACAATGAGCAGGCTGTTTCTCTCTTTATCAAGAGAACATAAGCCTGGAACCAGACACGGCCTGGCTCACCACCTCGGCCAGGGTCTCCCGCAGCAGGTCACAGAGTCCAGCTCTCTCAGCAAGGAAGGCGGATGGGAGAAATCCTGAACGCGCTCACTGAGCTGGACAATCAGGTGAATGTCAATTTTAAGGCCATGCCTAGTTTTAGCATTCAAAATTTACATGACCCTTGGGTTGAATTGGTCAATGTTTCTGAAACTTTTCAGAAGTAAAAGATAAACTAAATGGCCATCTAAATTATATTTTATTATTACATTTTGTATTGTAGTTCATCCTCCTAACAGGCTGGTTCAGAGACACCTGGGGGGGGTGCTGGGCCCCACCCCCAGAGGTTCTGACTCAGTGGGCCAGGCAGGGCCTGAGAATTAGCATCTCTAACAATTTTCCCAGCAATGCCGGCCAGCCACTGGCCCAAGGACCACAAACTGAAATCCACTCTGCTAAGACAGTACTAAATTTTAGAGGAACGGGCATGAAAATGTGACTGGTCCCACCCCTGAAAATGTTCTATGTGGACCTAAAACTCTGTCCCTCTGGTCGAGTAGCCTCAAAAGACACTTAAATTCTCTGAGGAACTCCAAATCATGCCACATGCCTTTTAAGAGCATGCTATTTTTTTTAAAAAATTTCCCCAGATGCCTCAGAAAACGTTATTACAATTTGTAAATCCTTGTGTGACGACACCTTTGGAACATGTTCCTCTGATAACTCAGTAACTAAGCTGCCCGAATTCACATCACTCCTCAGGTTCCAAAGTCAGCGGCAAAGGGGACCAGCGTGCTCTGCACCAGCAGACCGAGCTCCAACCTGCTGTTCCCGGCCAGGGATCCGGACTCAGACCTGGATACTGCAACATCTGTGAGTCAGACGCCCAGAATCTAATGGAAACTTTTATAAATTGCCCAAGTTGACTGTGAATTCAAATACTTTCAACAGCATTCACACCTCCCAAAGCAGGCCTGTGGACCGGCTGCTGCTGAAGCTGGGGGCCCGGACACCGTGGCTGAAGAACATTCTAGGTGTTGGTTCCGCCAGCACGAACTGAGCGGCAGTTGTGAGTCCTGCACAGGGCTGCGCAACATGGTAACAAGGGGCCTGGGACCCCAGTCTGTGGTCTCTAACTGCTCAGAGTCGAATGAATATTTGATACTCAACCTGTGGGAAATATTGGCCAAGACTCATTACGCACCAAAGAGACTCACAACCCAGGCTTATATTCATAGCTCAGCAAGGACCAAT